AAGCGTGCAGTGCGGCAACCAACATCATTTCACCCAGCCGACCCATCATGGCACTCACGCTGCTCACTCCCCGAGCAAGGCTAACAGATGCGAAGCGGGATCAGCACCATAACACGGATAAGGACCGCAACAGCAAGCACCCAAACTAGGCACTCCAACCTTTCAAGCACCGATGAAATCTGAAGACATTGGGGCAGTTGTGGCTGGAGTGAATGCAACAACCTCCACTCTTTCGGCTTTCAGCCCGTGAACCTGGGAAAGACTGAGCTCCCAGCTATTCCCCAAAACGCCAAAGTTCCTGAGCCGATTGCGCAATGGTCTTGCAGCAGGATGCCTGATAATGTTTGGTCTGTCCACCGCGATACACCTCCTCCACCATGCTCTTGCAATCAGAGTCGCCTAGATCCAAACAAGATTTCGTACACGTGGTGCAAACTCCCCATCGAAAGGCAGGATGCAAGACACCGACACCTCAAAAGTTGACCAGTAAGCTGATGGGCCCAGTCCATGAGAACTGGCACACAGGACTCAGCTTAAAGACCCCTTCAGGATCCTCCTAACACCTAAAGCTTGCCGGGCCCCCGGGCGGAAGGATGTCCAGGTGCCGTTACAGGCGAGCAAAGCCCGAAGCCGGAGCTGGCGCGGGTTTCTGCGAGGCTTCTTGGAGTTCTGACCTTCCATCCCTTGTCGGCTTCGACTTCTTTGGGGCTCGCTTTGGGCACTCAGAGGACCTGGGAAATCTTGGAAAGAGGCTTTGGTCGCTGCAGCACGAACGCACACGCAACGCTCGGGCGCACCGGAAGAGAGCAGCACGGGCAAGGCCCACCTGTGGGGGACTGCCAGGGATTCAAGCACAAATTGCTTCGGGCAAGCATAAAAAGCACAACAGTGAGTGATGCAGGAGTGGATCTAACAGACAGAACGGCTGCGTACAAAAATCAAGCTCCGGCGTTTCTGAACATGCACGAGCAGCAAACATCTGAGTCCCGCACTGTCAGTCTCGACATGTACGGACTCAGCACACTGCGAAATGTGAATAAGCCAGCTTCACCCAAACTCAGATCATGAGGCCCTTTGCGTGGACACAGAGTCTCACAATCGCAAACCCATGCGGCAGGACTGCATCTCTCTGCTGAGACCGTGACAGATACGTCGGCCGGCACCACAGCAGCCATGCAATTTGCATGTGCCGGTGCCGAGAAACAGTAAATCTGCCTGTCCCTTGCCAGTGCTAGGCCAGGTCTGCTAGGTGCTCTCGGTCGCTTGGGGTAGCTTGAGGTGCTCAGTGGTCTGGGGTTGCTTGAGTCTGGGCTTGGGTATAGCCGTGTAGCCCTGCCGTCGGCCGGATATCCAAACGAAGAAACATGCATCATGTCTTCTAACTTCAGCCAGAAAGACATCACGGGAGCTTCGTCGCAGCAGCGGAACGCAGAGCAGACACATGCAATGATTGGCGGTAGGCTGTGCCTCTGCCACCACTTTGTTACGAGCTTCCACGATATCCTCCGAAGGCTCGAGATCGGCGCACATCAGTACATAGCAACCGCAGTGCGTGATCTTGACATTCCCTTGGTATCCCTGAACGGTGTACCCTGAGCCTGGCGTGGCGGTGGAGCCCGGCCGCCTGAACTGAAAGTCGCGAGCTTCAGATCCCCAGAAGGCACGACGGGTCAGGAGGACAATGACAAGGAGAACTTCGATAGGTACGCATCTTCTTTTTGAGCACGTTTCAGGCGTGTGCATCCCGCTGCACCATGCTGCACCTACAAGAACTTGTAACGCTCGTCTGATTGTAGACCATACGCCACATGTCGGACGACTCGGATGAGATCAAGCCAAACCTCGAACACAGCAGCAATGCTTCCACACTTGTGCCGGGCCCCCGACCCCAGCTACCCGCTAGATTGGGAGCTTTCTTCTGCAACCACTCGTCCAAGGTCGGCCTCACCCAACGCTGCTGCCACAGTAGCTAGGTTGGTGCAATTGTTGGTGTTCTTGCCTGCTTGCAGAATTTCGTCCGAGAAGGTTGGTTCACTCCAAACTTCGGACGAATTGCAAGCTGGCAGCGCAGCAGGCAGCTTGCCCTAAACCCAAATGTCTTTCCCTCATGATTTCCAAGTGCAGCGATGTGCAACGATGTGCATGAACATGCACCGAGGGCGCTTCGGATCCTAAGCCGCTAAGCCGACTTAGAAATGTGAGCCCCCTCGCGAGCTTCCCTGATCTGGGCTTGGAGTTACCACACACAGGATCGCGAATCGCGACTCCGCTGCTCCGCTATCTTGATGGCTCGACTTGGGGGTTGACCAGCACCCAGGATGCCTATTGAATAGGCCTAGTGAGAGAAGACGAAGCCAAACGCCCCACCGGGGCATGGCCATGGCGTCACCGCCCTAGCCGCTGCTCTGCGAGCCAAGCACGTCAGCCAACCCCCCTGAAAGGAAGGGACCAGATGGAGAAGAGTGGGGTCAGCAGAGAACACCACGAGCGAGTGTTTTCATGAGCGTCATGGACTTCAGTTCGTTCATGGCTCACTTGGTGCGTGCCCACACGAAGCCGACTAGATTATGGTCCATACAACAGCTGAGAAACCAGCATGCGACCTTCTGGAACGATGTCATTCCTGAGCTGTCACTTGGGCAAGCGAAGAGCAAGCTACAAATCTAAATGGACTGCGCAACACTACTCAGTGCTGAAACACATCCAGGCGGCGTAGGGTTGGCAATATAGAAGAGGAACCAACCTTGAAAGCAAGTGCCTTTGCCTGAAGTCTTGCACAGGCACTCCGGCAGCAACGCAAAGGCCCAGACATAGAAAGAAAAGTGCCACCCAGGGCAGCAGGTCGGAGATCCACGCCTGTCTGTGCAGAGCTCCACAACAGCCTAGCCTACCCAGATGGCGAGCACTCACAATCCCAAAGCACATCTGCACAGGCTCTGCCGGGAGGTGATGACTCATCTGAACCCACACCTAGCTGTGCTTGGCTCCTTTGCTTTTTCTGCGGGTTCCGAAAACTTGGCTTTGCAGTGCCTTTTCACTGGAACTCTGAGCTCGACGCCAGGTCCGCATCCCATGACGACGCCGAGAGCTGCCACATGGGTTCACGCCAGACCATCTATCTTTGTTGTGTACCACAGCTGGGATTTTGGTGCGGATGCCAGATGCCATTGATTTGTACTTCAGCATCTCGCAACGCCTTAACCGAACTTAGCAACACTTAACAGGCACACCACTCTGCTAGCCTCCGGTAAGCACACCATGTGCTGTGATTTTTTGTTGATTGTTCCTTGCATGCACCTCCCCGGCTGGATAAAATCTGAATACACGCTTAGTTCCGGAGCAACTTTTGGACGTGTGACATAGGATGGTGCTTGATGGCTGTCTTGCTAAACCATGCTGAACATTGCCCGGGGCCTTTGCGCGCTGCGCTGCGCGAAGGGCCCTCAGTTTGGACACCTCCTCACGGTAAACGAAGTCCTCGGATCTTTTGCAGTCTCCGAGGTGTGTGCTTTTCGGATGCTGCATGCATGCGAGCTTTGGCGTTGTACCGAGCGAGGGATACCACCTGGAGGAAGGAACATGCAAAAACAACGATCGGGACCCACACAGGCCTTCGGGCAGACAGACTTACAAAGCAAACATACACAGACCAGGCCGGCAGGCAGGCAGACTCGGTGTGGGTGTGTGGGCCCTTGCCTGCACATGTTTACCTAAAACATGTCTACCGATCTTTCCATCTATCTCTGTATCTGTCTGTATCTGTATGTCTGTGTATCCATCTATAGATCCACACGTACGTATCTGCACACATGCGTACACACATACACATACGTGCATGTGTACACAACCTCTCTGGGTAGCTGGCATCTGCGAAGTCGTCCATCGCTCGTCGTTGAACAGCGGACGACCTCGTCTGACCTATGCAATGCCTTCAAACCTTCCTTCACCTCCTGTTGCGATTCAGAGTCTCAACGTACGAAGCAACGCATGTGCTAGTCCGGTAGTCCGACTGGGCAGACTGATGAAGCAACATCCGTGCTCACTGGAATGCCTGAAGAAGGCACAGCGCGAAGGCTACACGTAATATGCTTGGGCCGAAGCAGCACCTGCGATCTCCCGAAGCTCCCAAAGCCCACAAGGAAGGACAGGCTTCGACCTGCTACCAGTACACTGCGACCAGAAACGAATGCATCAAGGTTTCGAGTCCGCGGACACTCACACAACCTCGCCTTTCTTGGCAGCGGCGAGTAGCGCCAGAAATGCCAACTGGCACTGGCACGGCTTCGAAAGTCCAATGCACCCCGCCCATGCAGGCCTGCCGCCATACCGCCCGGTGCACACGCCGCATGGTGGGCAAATCCCTAATCTAGCCTTGTCTCTATTTACATGTAGAAAAAACAAATATATATATATATATATATGTTACATAAACATTATGATAAAACTGTCTTCTGCGCTCTCCAAGTGACAGTTCAAAGAAATGGGATTTGTGTGATGCAGCATGCGGCACGTTCGTCACAACCGCAGTTTTGATTCGACGCTGCGGCACGCAGATTTTGTTGACGCCGGACGTGTGCTGCTAGCAGATCAGCAGATCCGCGGTCATCACAGCATTGCATGGTACCTCATGCAGAGCGCAGGAAAGCGTGGACCGAGCAACTCAAGCAACCTTTGCAGTCGTGGACGTCGCAGGATGAAACACACATGCGAAACTGGCACAGACAAGGTCCGATCTGGCTTAATATAGATGCCTGAAGAATTAGTACTAGTACCCGATGTAGATGTAGTCCTCAATATGATTGTGGTCTGACGCGCCCCTCTGCCAGATTTTATGGGCCCGAAATAAACTTCAGGAGTGAATGAGTTGGCACGGACTGGCTCGAGCAAATTCCATGTCCATGGCCGATCGCCTCTACTCGCTACCGAGTCTGCCACGACACACGGCGGTACGCACCACCAACGTGTTTTTATGCCCCCGAAGAACATCCGGAAACCAAAAACCCTGATCCTACATCCTAAAACCGTCAGCACCAAACCCTGTTCAGCCAAACAACAGATTCCTACATACTCTGCGCAGTAGAGTTGGTCTTCCTACAAGAAACTGAGCCTATCTTCTAAATCTCAGAAAATCTCTCAACAGATGTGATGTGGAACTACCTTTTCAAACCCTGACACCCGCTGCAAAAGCTTTGCTGAGTCTGTTTCTCCCACACGCAACTGGCTTCTCGCTCGTGTTCAGAAGCTGGGACATGCTCCTCCAGAGCGAATACTGTTGAGATGGCACGGGGCATCATGCGGCAAAACATGCGTGTATCACATCCACTGCCCCCCTGGAGCTGAAACAGCTGCTGGCATCCCCACACATATCTTGCTGGACCTCTTCGCTCCCGATGTCCAGGAAGGACTTTATCTGCAAGCACCTGGATCCAGCAGATGCAACCGCACACCGGCCCTGGGACGACAAGAGCAGTGCTTGCAACAGGCCTCCTAGCAATTGATGTGCCTTTTCCCATTCTGTTTCCGCTCTCTACTACAATGCTGGGCAAGAATGTCACACCTGTGGTTGCAACCCGTGGGCAAAATCTCAACGATGCAAGTTCCCTCATTCGGGCGTCTGATGTTGGGATTTGCGGGTTTGCGGCATAGCGCTTTGGAATTACTACCACACACACACAGACCTACGTGCGACGCAGTGGAACCCCTCAAACTAGAGTGCAAGGGCACGGGATGAAACGACTCTGAGTTTGCAGCAAGTTCGGAAACTGGGTGCTGTCGACAGCAAGCAGCTCCTGGTTTCGTCTTCAAGCCGCAGAATCATTGAGGCGACAATCAGTGCACTCGCATGCACTCGCAGACTTCTGAGGATCCTTTGCAAGCTCGCTGCTTCCTCGCACAGCTGCTGCCTGCGCACAAAATCGCAGGGCCCTATTTTCTGCGATGCACACCGAGCTGGCACATCGTGGCACCATCACTCATCCCTGGGTTTCGCACCCACGGCCAGCCTCCGGCACATCGAGCAGCCGGGAAAGTGTCTCATCCGAGAGTGGCACTTCAGGGTCCTTTCGAGCCAACTACCAGAATTCCGGCAAGCACGTCTTGGCTGTGTCACTGTATGCTTTCTGGCCTCCAGCTTTTCAAATTCACTTTTGACCTCAGGGGCTCAAGAGCACAAGGCACCAACCCCTCAAGTTCACAGGAACGAGTCGATCGTCCGTCTGCGATCTGGGCATCGCACCACGATGAAAAAGTCGCCGTCCTCCTCATCAGAACCTGCGATGAAACTACTACCGGAGTGAGGAGTGCAAACGAGTTGAAGCTACCACGACAGCTCAAGGGCGTCCCAGCTGCACCTGCAGGATTCGGTGCGGGCAGCGCAGGCTGTGTCGGCTGCTCTGCGATCTCCTGCAGTCAGACGGCCCGCGTGTCCCCGTAGTTCGAAGTCTGCTCGGCTTTTCGACGTGGAGCCTCCTGCAGGCCAAACTTCGTCAGTAGGCCTGCTTTGTGCAAGATCTCCTTTCACAAACTCTGGCGCGAGAATTGACGACACTGCAAGCACATGCAAGGTCCGCTCTGCTCCTCTCGCAATACGGCAGACTCTTCTTCCTTGGACTGCTGACGTCACACGGAACGAGAAAAGAGCCCCGAAGCTCAAGGCTTCTGCAGTCCGAGAGTCGGAGTTACCCTCCACCAAGATCCCGGGGCCCAGAGTTGCCATTCTGTGCTCCACTGGGCGGGCTACATGCTACACGGACGGTCAGACACTCGCAACTGAACCCTAGCCCGTGTCCGGTTACTGCTGTTGTGTGTCGCTACACACACACACACAAGCGCAGCTGGCCAAATTGTTCTACAAGTGATGTAGACATGCATGCATGCATCACCTCCTTCTATCTGGGTCGAACAAGTGCTAAGTGCATAACACAGTCTGCACGGATTCTCCAATTGGCAAACACTCGTGTGCACATGGAACTCCTCGAAATGTGAGGATGGAATGAAACGATAACTTTTCCACCAATAACTGCTGAGCCTGCTCTAAGGGTCATGTGCTTTGCCACTCCACGTCCTTTGCTATGTACATTGCAACACAGGCTGTCGCCAGAAATTGGGAATCTCAGCACACGCTCTGCAAACAGGGATCTCAGTCGCATCGTCAACTTACTGCATGACAAAACCACCATTCCGTGGCGGCTACCGTCATGGCTGTAGCCACAGTTTGCAAGCTTTCAAGAGCCACCTCTCAAGGTGTGCCGAAGTCCTCCTTGGGACCAGATAGATGTCTCTACGACACCGGGATCTGCCAAGATATTGGGATGTACCTGCCAGCGTACTTTGGCCACTCAGCACAAAAAAACCTATGCAGTCGTAGATCCAACAAGAAGAATATATATGCTCGCTCGGTGTCAAGACGCTAATCGTGATTACGATGGTCAGCATGAGTATAATTTCTACTGTGACTACGACGGTCGCAACTACGTGCAGCAGTAGCAGTGGCACTAAGCAGCAGTAGCAGTAGCAGCAGCCGCCGCAGTAATCGCAGCATTTGACCTAGCGCCAGCAGTAGCAGTTGCAGTAGCAGTAGCAGTCGTAGTAACAGTCGTCGTCGAAGTCGTCGTCGTCGTCATAACAATAATACTAGTAGTAGTAGTAGTAGTAGTAGTAGCAGCAGCAGCAGTAGTAGTAGTAGTAGTAGCAGTAGTAGTGGTAGTAGTACTAGTAGTAGTAGTAGTAGTAGTAGTAGTAGTAGTAGCAGTAGTAGTAGTAGTAGTAGTAGCAGCAGTAGTAGTAGTAGTAGCAGCAGCAGCAGCTACTACTACTACTCCTC